ACATTCACATCTGGAAGCTGCCCAGTACAATTTCATATTACATTTTTTCTTGATAGTTTTTGTTTAGTTCACACTATACAAAAAAATTCCAATTTTTTTATGGTCATTTTCTATATATTTTTATTTCTATATAAATATATATTATATAGATACAGTTATATATAATATATACACTATATATATAAAATCATATTTATACATAGTACAACAAAACTATGTATATATATATATATACATAATATATTTTATACATAGTTTTATATATAGTTTGAGGCGGCTGTGGCTCAGGAGAATAACTGAGCCTCAGTGGCTCATGCACTAATCAGAAGGTCGGTGGTTCGATCCCAGCTCCTCCAGTCCACATGTTGAAGTGTCCTTGGGCAAGATGCTGAACTCCAAAAGCGAATGTGGCTTGTAGTGTAAAGCACTTTGGGTGGTCGATAAGACTAGAGGAGCCTATGTGCAGTCCATTTAGTTCATTTGATTTTTGTGATTGGTGTGAAGTATTTCAGTCCCATATGGAGACCTGAGAGCATGGATGACTACCATGCATGATGTCATGATCCTCATTAAGCTGATTCTGAGACAGACCAACCCTCCCATTGTTCCCCTCAAAGCTCTTATACAAACCACGAATGCAGACACACACAGACAAGCACACATACATACAGACACACTTTCCAGCTTCACTGCCTTCACACCATCTAATCACACAGTGACCTGCAATACTTAATGGCTCCCTAATGGCAGCACCGATGAAATCAAAATAAATAGACATAATGCCATCAGCAATGTCTTTTCCATGAAATGCCAAATACTTTATTCTACTTGACAAACACCTTGTTCTGCGTCACTCTCCTCACTCCTCTCCTCTCCTCTGGTTGATCGGATTGCTTTCTTTCAAAATTCAAGGCTAACATTCAGAGTTATTGCCAGCTGAAACTTTTGCAAATCATAAATAGCTGACCAACTTTCAACAAAAAAATACCAAACATCCAGGTTTGAGGAATAACTCGTAGAAACTAATATTGGTAAATACATCCTCATCCTCTCTGAGTCAACTGAATTTATGCATTGAATATCTGCCTGCTGTACTTGCAGATTTCCCATCTAAGGCCTGGCATCATTCACTGTGGCTGTAATGAGAGATGGAAGTAGTATGCTGTTTATTTCAACCATCTGTGACTGGCCTGAAAATTCCCTTTAATAGTCTTCTCTGCGCAGCACAGGAAGAAAATGACTGCGCTGTGAGCTGATCTGTGTCAAGGAAGTGAAGTGCTCATGATTATACTCAGAGTGTAAGAAGTGGATCTTCTTTTGCAAATTAAAAATCTCTCTGATATTGTGTCTGTCTTGGAAGAATGATGAATTATGAATGTTGCCGCTGTGCTTGTCGAGTAAATATTTAATCATATACAGTATTTTGTATAGATTAATGTGAAACTGAGATGAGTTTTCAAACATATAAAACGGCAAAGACACCAAGAAACTAGAACAGATGTCACAACCTGTTTGATGTAAATGTATCTGTCACTGTAGCTCTGGGCTCATCTTTGTTTCACTGACTGAATAAATGTGTTGGAGTCTACGCAGATATATTTTGAAATACATGCACAGAACAGAATCCACGGAGGAATGTGTCACCTGCTTTGGTGATGGTCCTGCTGTGTGTTTTGCAAGCTTTTATGCCATTAAACCAAGCGCTCTCTGGGGACAGCGAAAGCTGAGTTGAGATGAATTGTGTCAGCCCAAACAGGTTTAACTCCTTACAGGTGGTCAATCATCTGGTCTTTAAATAGCAACACAGTGGGGAGCGGCGTAGTGGCTACATTTATTTATGATGAAGCTACAGCCGTGGCCTACTTCTGGGTGACTGCTCAGGTCCCAGCCAGGCAAACATCCTCCCTCTCTCTCTCTCACTCTCTCTCTGTCTTTTATTCATTTTGATTCTATCACTCATTCTCTTGCCCCATTTCTCTCCTGTAGAGTGTATATACTGTAGCTCAATACTATTAATATGATCACACGAGCTGACAGACTATTTCCCACCTTCACCTTCATATTACTAATTCTATGAAGTATATCCTGTGCATTATTCTTCACTGTACCAAGTTCTTTGTAGTATGCAACAACAAAATGTACAATTATGCAGTATGGGTGCTGGTTGGTGTCATATTGAGATGCAACTTCAGAATAAAAAAAAATTCAAATTTTACAATGACACAAACAGCAACTAAAAATGTTTTCCACAGACTTTTTAAAAGTGTTTTTCTAATCACTTCAGCAAATTGAAGTCAAGGGATTCTAATGCATGTTTGGATTTCAGTGTCCTTTTTTATTATAATTATTTTCTATTTTGCCAGTGTGAACTTATATATATTTAAGACATGGTTTGAATTAGAATTACAATACATAAAAAAATTGGGAAAGGGGGGAAAGAGTTGTTGATAATATAGGCTATATACACACAGGGCTTCTTAAGAGGCTACCCAGGATTTGTCCCAGTAAAAGTGAAAGCTCAAATTTGCCTTTGAGCAACAACAAACCCAACTGATTCATGTACAAACACAATGGAAGTGACTCACGTTCTCCATGTCTGTGTCTCTGTAAACTTCACTCGATGCTTGCAAACATCATGAAGTATAAATATTTCTAAAGAGGAAACAGTAAAATAGTTTTCTCAGAGGCAATAAACGTATAGTGAAGGAAAATGCTGAAAAAATTGCTTTAGGCAAGGTTGGTTAAAGTGGACAAAAAAGACAAGAAAATTAAAGCAATATGCAGGCAGAAAGGATGTAATAAGGACACTGTCTGAAATTCAAAGTAATTGTATTTAATACAAGCCCTGATTTGGCCCTGTAGCTGCTGTTTGTTTGTGAGACTACAGATTACACTACTTTATATTCATTTTCATCACAAACTGAATTCTGTAGAAATCGAATGCCTTGTGACCCGTGGACAATAGGTCAAAGTCACTTTTGTCTCATGACTTCCCTGTGTGTTTTATTCTTTCTGTGTTTCTTTGCTAAATTTTCCTGGAAAATATAAATGGAAATTCATATGTTCATAACAGCTCTTATTCTGCCCGAAATGCAAATGAAAACACTTGCATGCATGTATTCATGCACACTGTCTGTATATGAGAAATAAATCAATTATTCTGTTTCTTTTCTGAGTGAGACTCTGTCCATGGTGCTGAAAGACAAAATCTTTGGCATGTCGCAATACAAACAGAGGGAGGCGCTGTTGCTCATTGCAAGTGCAGGACAGAAATCTCACATAATGTTACAACTCAGTGGCAAATTACAGCCATTTATCTGAGTCTTGAAGACACTACTTGTGTTACATCTTTTGATTTGTAAAATTGTTCCAAAGGGAAAAGTAGGATTATGTTGCAGTCAAAATGTTAAACTGGGAATAATGCACACACATTGCAGCATGGGGACCAAACTATGTCCTATATTTATGCATTCAAACTAAATGTCATGCAAATTGATTCAAGCTGGGGGTCAAATTGTGTTAAGCTTATTATAATAATTGTACAAAGATGGATGCAGTATTCGTGACAGTGTGCTGTGAGCTGCTGTGAGAGCCAGCAACTTTGTTTTAAACAGAATCGTACAGTTCTTTAACCTTTGACAGCACCAAGAGAGGTGCAATATTACACATTACACACAACAATCAGTACCACACTGATGTGTGATGTATATTAATATAGGGTTTTTATGTCAACAGGCCTGATTTTCTTTTCAGTGCTTTAGGGAAATATGATGATGGCTGACAAAAGGTGAGCATGTAAGCAGCGACTGTGTTTGTGTGTGTGTGTGTGTGTGTGTGTGTGTGTGTCGATGGGGGGGGGGCAACCATGAAGACACCACCCAACTCTGTAGGGGAGGGGAGGCGGTACAAGAGTGTAGAAGGGAGGGTGAGGAAGAGAGGGGGGGTGGGGGGGGTGGATGCTCGTTTCAGCACCGCGGACAGCTCCAGCGGGTGAAAGCAGCCAGCAGCAGCAGCAGCAGCGGGTCGGTTCTCCGCTGCTCTGAAAAAAGAAAAAAAAAGAAAAAATTAAAAAAAAAAAAAAAAAAAAAAAAAAAAATCTGAACTGAGATTTGTAACACCTCTCGAGGACAGCGGAGGGGGATCTAGTTTAATTCAACCCCGATGCAGGCGACATATTTGTAGTGACAGGCTGCAGACAAAAAGACAAAACCATTACAGGACTCCTGAGCTTTGCGTGGTGTGCAATCTCTGCGAAGTTTCTCCGCCACTGAAAGGCGTCCTGCCTCCTCCTGCCGGTCCACACAGCCCGGGAAACCTGCTGCTGTTCAAGGGGAAGTTGAAGAGGAAACAAAAGTGTCAACACCACGTCAGCGCCTTCTTCGGTTTGGACTATATCCTTCAAGAAGTTGTTGGACTTTTTCTTTTCTTTTCTCTTTTTTTTCTTCGTTTGCCCAGCTCCACTGCGTAAATTTCTGGTTTTGTGAGCGTGTGCAGAAGGATTCTTATTTGTCGGATAATACTCCCAGAAGCAAAAGCGGCAAGCAAGACAAGTTTCTTTTTTTTATTCGGCTCAATAGGCTTCCGTCAGCCTCCGCCGACTGCCTTTGTAATGCTCTTTTTTCCAGCAGCGATGGGAGTCCTACAGCCACTGATGCAAGCTTTTGATGCGTCCGGATACATTTCACCTCTCTGGCAGCGCTGATTCTGATTCTCTCCTCCTCCTCAAAGTCACTCATCTCAGTCTGTTCCATTTAACATTCACAGGAGGGACGCCCCGGACTGCCATCTTCCCCCCATTTTCGACTACACTGCCGAAGACTGGTAGGTGATAATAGCCATGGATCGATGAACAATGCTTATTCAGATTATTGTGAGATGAAGTTGGAGGCCCTGCAACGCAGAATAAACGAGGACGCTTAGGCAACTTTTTTTTTTTTTACACTGATCCATTATTATATTTTTCTTTTTCTGTTTTTAAACTTGCTGTAGAAATAGGTGTGTGGCCTGTTTGTAGCTGTTCATGACGGAAAGGATGGCGCTGAGTGGAAACTGTAGGACTAACCCCAAAGAGCAGGCATCAGTTCAGAACAGTTTCCCAGATGTGGTTGAATTAAACGTAGGGGGGCAGGTTTATTACACGCGTCACTCAACTTTGGTGGGCAACCCGAATTCATTACTCGGTAAGCTATTCTCCTCCAAAAAAGAAGCATCAAATGACTTGGCGAGAGACCCCAAGGGCCGTTACTTCATCGACAGAGACGGGTTTTTATTCCGGTATGTGTTGGACTACCTCCGAGACAAGCAAGTCGTCCTCCCGGACCACTTTCCGGAGAAAGGGAGGCTCAGGAAAGAGGCGGAGTACTTCCAGCTGCCCGACTTAGTGAAGCTGCTGACCCCTGAGGATATCAAGCACAGCCCGGACGACTATTTCCACAGCGACTATGAAGATGGGTCCCAGGGCAGCGACCACCGGCAGTGCCCGCCGCCCTCCCTCGTCCCCGCGGACAGAAAGAGCGGCTTCATCACAGTGGGGTACAGGGGGTCGTGCACCATGGGCCGAGAGAGTCAGACCGACGCTAAGTTCAGGAGGGTACCTCGGATACTTATATGCGGGCGGGTGGCCCTGGCTAAAGAAGTTTTTGGGGAGACCCTGAACGAGAGCCGGGACCCGGACAGGACCCCGGATCGGTACACCTCCCGGTTTTACCTCAAGTTCAAGCACCTGGAGAGGGCTTTTGACATGCTGTCGGAGTGTGGTTTCCAAATGGTGGCCTGCAACTCATCAGTCACTGCCTCGTTTGTCAACCAGCACACAGAGGACAAGATCTGGTCCAGCTACACAGAATATGTCTTCTACCGTAAGTGACACCTTCCTTTTTTTTCTATTTTTTTTTATTTTTTTAACATCCACGCACATGCACGCGCATACAATACTTGGAGTCACCGCTAGAAGGCGCACTTGGTTTACGCGAGCTGGCGAGAGAGAAGGGTGGTAAGGGCGTTTCTGGCAGAGGACCATCTCTGTTGGATGTGTGGGTGAGCACAGTGCTGACGCCTCAGTGTGGTGACTGCTGTGGACAGAGTGATGATCAGGGCTGTTTCCACCTTTCTCTACACCTGTAGTGATCCTGCTCTCTGTCCTTTGTCAGTGGGTTTTCTTTGACAGAAACAAAAAAAACAAAAACAGCACAGTTGGCTACATAGGACAAACACAGAGATTATAAAATGCTTTTCACTGGGGTCAGCCAGCATTACCTTAGTTAAAATGCAAACAGAGGCACATGCTCCACTAGTGTCTGAAGTTTTGTCTCAGCCATGTGGAACAAAACCAATTAGAGATCACCCCTGGTAACTGGGGTTAAGCCAAGGTGTTGTTATCGCTCCCTGGAAGCGACCAAACCTTAGCAGCAAACACATAACTGAGCGGCTGGTTCATTTTTTTTTTATCTCAGTGTGTATGAACATCTTGCAGCATATTGCAACATTCACTATGCTCTTGCAGACTAGTTTATGTTTTTTAGATTTAAGACTGAGCCAGATTTGAACAATTTCACCCCCATCTGAGCCACGGTAAACGTCCGAAGCAAAGATTTGTCAACGCTTGCCAAGTCTCATCACGGTGAAATTTTCTACACCACCTCCACTCTGCTTTTATCCAACTCATCACGTCAACATCTTGCATTTCCTTATGGCTTTCCTTTTTCCTCCCATTTCTACATCTTGGCTGCTCACTAGCTGACAAGAATCTGGCGAGTGAGAGAGTGGCAGTGGAGAAGAACTCATCATGACTCTTATTCTGGCTCTCGTAAGACTTTATGATGCAACAAAATAATCCATATTCTCTGATCTGACGGTGTATGATTTATCACAAAGTCTCGGATAGCTGCCTTACGGAAGCTGCCATAAAACGGAATGTAAGAGATACTGTGACTGTGCTTAAGGTCTTAGTGCCTATATAAACTAACTGAACATTATAAGACAAACCTTTTCATAGAATAACCCATGAATCAGTACCAGCGGACATTTTTGAGATGCCATTAAATATTCAGAAAAAAAAACAACAGAAAAAAAGGCCTTTAAACATGAAACAAAAAGAATAAAGAAAGCACAGTTGCATTTTGGGAATTGTATTGTTTTAACCTGTATGCAGACCGACATTAATAGAGCGTGACAACATACTGTAGGACAATGAATACGTGCCAGTCATAAAAAAACTGAATAAACTCTTTTTGTGATTGCAAAATGTATTTCTACAGCAAGTACACCATGGCTTTATGAATACTTGAACTACTGCTGTTTCGGTCATAAATATGGTTCCCATAGCCACCACATACTCTCTATGTTAAAATAAGGGAGACAACAATGCATGATGTGCTGACTATTGCGCCACGTAAAACTGGAGAAGCTACCAAAAGCACTGAGATCATTGTGTCAAGGCAGCTATCACAATATTCACTAGAATAATAGTTTCTACTATTATAGGTACAGTAATGTATAAAATATGGTTATTTTCAAACCAGAGTTGTGACACTGGCTCGTCTCTCTGGTAACACTTGTAATACTCAAATCTTGCAGTTTTTGTCCAATGTTTAATACTGACTCTATATTTAAATACCGTCTGCAGACTTTACTTGTAACATCCATTGGGGGGTCTTATCAATCTTCAAAACAACAACCATACAAAACAGCAGTTTTCAGCTGCACCCATGTTGGTTCTATATTCCTGTTCCATCCTTGTTTGCAAAGTAATTTGTGTTCACAGAGCATTTTTGGTACTTTTTGGCAGTGGTAATGAAGAGGTGGAAACTGTTTCTGCAAACATCATGAAAGGGCTCGTTTTAAGCCTGTCACGTGACTCGAGGAAAGCTAAAGTTGGATTTTATGACATTCTAGCATTGTTTTTAAAATTCACATCCCAAAAATATATTGGATTCATCTTGTTCCAAGATTTCCTTGCAATGACTGGGATGGGGTCCAGGGCCGCTGGTTAGAAACCACTGCGCCTCAAGGAAAACCACTGCCAGCCCCATAAATCACATAAGTCAAATGATCACATGGTCGCAGAGCAAACAGGAATAAAAAAATAAATAAATAGAAAAAGCACATGAGAACTGGTAGCTGGGCTGGCTCCAGGCTAAATGAGCTCTGCATTAATGGTCCACATGAAGCAGCTACAACGACTGGATGGCTCTTGGCTCTCATAACCCCCACAAGTAGCACTAACAAGCCAAATCAAGTGGTGGTGGGGGCTGGTGACATACACATACTCTTGTATGGACATGCACACGTGCACGCACACACACACACACACACACACACACACACACACACACACACCTTGCTTATGCAATATCTGGCAGTGTGGCTGTGGGCTGCCTCTGCAGACCTCTTCTTACTTACTGACAAACAACAACTGCTTCCTGGCGTTGTTGACAAATGTTCAGTTCAGCTTGTTAGAGGGCGTAGACTCAAAGGCAAGGGCACAAATAGTAGCAGATGTGTTGGGCCTCAACACACATGGTGACACAAAAGCCTTCATGCAGCCACGCAAAATAAATAAATAAAATGAAACAAAACAAAACCCACTCACTCAGGGTTTACACACAAACACTGGAAACCAGGCACAATCAGAGGCAAATGTGCACACCAAGAACACACACACACACACACACACACACACAATCACGTAGGGAGTTTGTTAAAGGCTGCAGTCATCCAGTGGATTAAATGCAGTCACTCACAGTCTCTTGTTTATCTGCCTGTCACATTTTTGGCGCGCTCATCTTTCCCCCTCTCCCCATCCTCCCTCTTCCTCAACTTCCTTGTATTTCCTCTCCCTCTTTTTCCTTTCATGTCTCCTCATTTCGTTCTAGTCAATCATACCCGGCTTTTCTCTCTTGTCTCAGTTCCCCGCCTTCCCTCTCCCCAGCTTCATTTTGCTCGGTGCGCCGCAGGGGCAAGGAGCAGCGCGGCGGCACCAGTTGCCTTTACATGCCTCAGTGCACCGTCACGCCTCCTGTCTCGCTTCTTATTCATATCTCTGTCTGTCTGCCTGTCCATCTCCATCATTGTTTACTTACCTTCATCTTCAGCTGTCTCATTCTACATTTTAGCTATTTTATCTGCCACAGTCAGTGTGTGCCTCACCTTGTCCTGCGTTGCCACCGTGTTTGTCTTCCTTATCTGTTGGCCCTCTGGTTGACCATATTGGAGGTCCTGCGGTAACTCATTCGGCTTCTCACATTGAGATTGAAAAGCTAAAGCTAAATATATTATAAAGCCAAAAGTACGTCCAACTGCTTTTGTGAACCTTTAGTCTGGGGCTGTTTTCATGTTCTTTGGACATTTAACACTGTGCTGACATTTTAGTGAAGGTCTTTTCCTGTTTTAACATGACAATGCCTCTCTGCATGAAGCAAGGTCCATGAAGAACAGAAAAAAAACGTGATTGGCCTGCACAGACCCTCGATGTTAGGATGAACTGGAACACCAGCTGTGAGCCGGGCCTCATCCCAGCTTCAGTGGCCGACCTCACTCCTCTGGAAGCTCTACAATCTTGTGGAAGGTCTTCCAGAGGAGCAGATGCTGTTATAGCATCACAGTAATGCCCACTGATTTGTAACGAGATATGCAGCAATCGCATATGGGTGTGATGTACTTTTTCGCCACGGACTGTATCTCCCTTTTTGACACGTCTGATTTGCTGAAAATTGGTTAGCATTACATTAGCATTAATGGTTGTGAGTCATCTGCTGTTAACTCCTCACACTAGTCGCTTCACTAAATCAGCCTGCTGGACAGTTAAAGTCCACTGAGGCATAAAAAGCTAAATTTGGGAACACGCTGACCTGATTAGAGGATTCTCTTTAACATGGAGCATTAATAAATCTGCCTACCCACCACAACTAACTTTTTTTCTTGTTTTATATTTAGCACACACCCATTTGGGTTGCTTAAGGGCACTAAAACAGTGGGTTTAAAAAGTAAACGAGAGTCAAATTGATTCACTTTCTGTTTTCCAATCTTACTGACACAACTTTGCTAACTTTCACTCACAAGCTTCTTGTTTTCTTCGCCCGAAGCTTGAACCTTCTTTAGCTCTTTCAATCCTCTTTTTGCTTGTTATCTATTGCCCTGGATCCTAGGCTCCTCTGATTGTGCCTATCAATCTCTTTTCTGTTTGCAGTTATTCAAATTCTAGATGGCCTCTGAAACCCCAAAAGGCAAATGTATTTACCAATTTGTTGCGTGGCCGGAGTGACTGATAATTAATCATCTCTGCTGACAGTTGGTTCAGTGGTGTTCACCGCAGGGCCTCACAGAACGCACTGCAACAGAACCAGCGAACACAACATCCTCTGCAAGGCAAAAAAAAGAAAAAAAAGGAGACATTTTTGAAGTCTGCTGGGAGGATAGGAAAATCATATTATTTGGCTCAGGATGTATTTCCCCAGATTTTATTTTTACCTCAGCTGAACATGCCAGAAGTGTTTGTCACTGCAAATGGCCACTTTGATATGACCATGTGTGCTGGTGTGTGACACACTGTGCCATTAGCTTGTTACACACAGATGAGTAACTCCTTGTGTGGCAAATGTGTTTTGGCAGGTGAGAAGAAAGGGGTTATGGTCATGGTTATGGTGTGTGTGTGTGTGTGTGTGTGTGTGTGTGTGTGTTAAAACGTCACCCATGTTGCACTACCCGCGGCATTTGCACACCCGTGGAGCCGCTAGCTAAACACACCTGCACTCCACCAACCATCTCACATATACACACACACAAACACACACACACAGATACACACACATACACCCACATACACCCACTTGTGGACGCAAATAGCCATCACCATAAGAAA